TCTTAGTTTCGGCCCGACCGGCCCCGTGCCCCGGCCCTGCTGCCGCCAGCCCCGGGTCGCGCGGTGGGGCGGTTAAGCACCATGGACAGGGGTTGCCAACGACCAAACCCTGCTGTTGCTGGCGAGGAAGGTGTCTGCCGATGGGCTCCGGATTGCACAGCCAAGTACATGCAGGCTTTCCTGGCACAGATCTTCAAACCTATCATTTTTGTTCAGCTCCCTTCATAGCAGTGTCAGTTTTTTAGCTGCGTAAGTATCTGCCGTGAGCCCTGGGTTTGAAACTGCAAGGTAGCAATGTGAAGTTTATTTACCGGTGGTTCTCAAGCGGTGTGCATTGTATCAACTGCAAGAATAAAAGAGAAGTTTGGAATACAATTCTGAAGTCTGCTTGCTGTAGCTAATAAACAGAACTGCAAGGAAACCAGCAATGATTGGTGACTGCTACTCCTATGCAAAATTCAAGTCAACTATTTCTTCAGAGTATGTCTCTTCAGCTCTATATGCATCAGCTTTAATATGAACATCTTTCGTGTTTTACCTTGCTTTTTTTTAAAGATACCAAAACGTTCCGTGTCCTGAAAATACAGAATATCTTGTGCACATTTAAAGGCACTTTTCTTCCACATGGGGGAATTTTAAATAAGAATTTTCAAAGGAGTCCAGGTTCTCCTTTTTGATGGGATTTGGTTATCTAGCTCACATCAGCACTTCCTGTAGTTCCAGATGAAGTGATTTCCCTAAAATCGTATGGGCAAAACATGGTAGAATTGGGAATAGAACTTGTCTGTCAGTGAGCTCAGAAAGCCTCCAAAGTCCTAACCACCTTCTCTCAAATTTTGTCAAGTTGTATTGTGCTGTTTTCTGCTTTTAGTAAATGTATAACAGCAAACATTAGTACCGAGCTAGGTCCCAAATACGTGGATTTTCTTGGTCTGAATAGCTAATGTTATTTTCATCTAAGTTTGAACTGTCTTTTCTTAGGGACAGAAAGCGGACTCGAGAATTTATAGAATCAGATTTTTCAGAAAGGTGAGTATTATTGAACATATATTTTATGTATATGGTCATACTTGTTGTATTTCTTCAGAACTGCCCTTCAGAGAGATGAGTGTACAGTTCCCACTTTCAGCAGTTTTCACTCCTCCATGTAAAAGCCATGTTGTATGTTATTCCTTGTAGTTATAGTTCATTACTCTCTGCTTTATCACTTCCTGATAAATACATTAGAGATGATACTGGGAGTTGTGAAAAACAAACACAACACATCTTTAGAAACAGGATTGTTCTAGTTTTCAACGTGAGGAATGCTTGTAAACAGATGATCTTTTCCTTTACTTCCAAAACTTCTTTGAATGCATTGAAGGTGGTTTTATTTGTTTACCTATCAGAGGTTACTCAAATTGATTATCTGCGAAGGGATTAGGAGTGTGGGTTGGTTTTTTTGTTTGGTTGGTTTTTTTAAAATCTTCTGGTGTTCTTTTCCACTCTTCCTTTTCTTTTGTCCTTCTTTCCAATGTTCTGTTTTCTTAAATACATTCGAAATTTTGAAAAGCATTCTTATATTTTAATGTTTTCCTTAGTTTGATACTGTTGGCAGAACTGGGCCTTTTTCTGTAAAACGATAGATCTTCCTGAAACATATTTTCAAACCAACTTGTAAAACTGTAATTTAAAAAAAAAAAAACACAGTACAACTGAGCTTTTTAAAGGCTTCTGTGGAAATATGCATCCAAATCTGGTTTGTATGATAAAACCAACTGCACCTGTTTTTTCCATTATTATTCCATTATCTAAGCTCGTGCTTTTCTGAAGGACAAAAGTGAATGGAAAATAACCCTGACAGTTGCCAGTTATTAATCTAACACCATAAAAAACAACGAATAAGTAGTTACTCTCTACAGAAGAGACTGTTGTATCTCTGTCTTAACTATGATGGTACAGGTACTAGGTCAGTAGGAGAAATGATGTATCTTCTGCTGTGTTGTAAATAGGGATCTGAGCCTTTCTATTTTAAGAACAAACATGAGAGTTCCCTGTAAATCTGGCTTCCAGGCACATAAACACCCTGTGAGGTTTTCTCCCTTTTTTTGGTTGTTCTTTTGTGAAACTACCTGGAGATGAATTTTACAAATCCAGTTTTTTAAGCATCTGCCTGGTAGCATGTGTTCAAATACTGTTAATGCAGAAATCGCTGAGAAGGGGCTTCTCTGTACTTTTATGCCAACTTGTAAGAAACAGGAAAGTGGTTCAAAAAAGCAGATTAGTTTTATTTTTCATTTAGGTAGTACATAATGTCATGAATCCTGATTCCTGTTGTGAAAGGTAGACTGTGTAACAAAGTAGCTTATTAACATTCTATGTATTAAAATAATTACTTTTCTTCTTCCAGTAAGAGAAGCAAAAAAGGAGATAAAAATGGGAAGGGTCTGAGGCATTTTTCCATGAAAGTATGTGAAAAAGTTCAGCGTAAAGGAACAACTTCATACAATGAAGTCGCTGATGAGCTGGTATCAGAATTCACAAATTCTAACAGCCACCTAGCTACAGATTCGGTAAGCAAATATGTGTTGAAATTTGTTATGCCATTACAAAATTGTCTGCTTTATCATGGGATTCTGTCCCTTCTGTTTCTGCACTGTCCTGCCACGCTCCATACTTTCCATCACTTACTTAACTACTTCCTAAATATAAAGACTTATGCTCTCAAATTCAAAAATATAGAATTACAATGAAGAATTGAACTCCCTCTAAATTATAAACAAAATAGAGAAGTCTGCCAAAAGAATTATCTTGAAAAAAGGGCTACTCTTGTACCTGCCATATGTGGTCTTGTCGGGCTTTTCAACTGTAACAGACTTGCCATGATAGGAATTTGCTGCACAGAGGCTTCAGGCAGGTCTGAAGTTTCCATTTGCAACCAAACACATTCATGTGGTATCCAGGTAGTAGCACAGATGAAGGCATCATGTTTTAATACCACTCTGACTTGAGCTGCGATTTTGTCTTTTTATCTTCTCCATATCTATTAAGGACGCATTCAGTCTTTTTTTTCCGTTTTGAATTCTTTTATTGTAATTAATGCTGCATTGTTTTCTTAGCAGGCTTATGATCAGAAAAATATTAGACGGAGAGTTTATGATGCCCTTAATGTCCTGATGGCAATGAATATAATTTCAAAGGAGAAGAAGGAAATCAGATGGATCGGCCTTCCAACAAACTCAGCTCAGGAATGTCAGAATCTAGAGGTAAACTGAGACAGATGGGAAATGCTATATGGTTCACAGCTTGTGATAATGGAGCTGCTCTGCTTTAGAAGAGGGGTTTTTTTCTCAGTTTGAACCTGGTTGGTTTTGCTTCTTGCACATTATGAAGGTACAACTTTTGATATTTGAATAAACTGAAAGGATGTATTTATGTATGCTTAGTTCAGTTTTATTTAGTATACATTATGTGAAGTTTAAAAAACTGTTTACCTTACAAAAATGGACATGGATTAAATCAGGGTTTACTTTTAAGATTAAAGTCTGTAGTAGCCTGAATTAACTAAAGGAAAGTCAAAAGAATTTATGGTGCAGTTATACTTACCAAATGGTATACATTTGAAAGGAGACCAGTTTTCTGTTAAGGTCTGTACCTGGAAATGCCATTCAAAGGAAATTAAATTGAAAAATAATTCCTGCTAGGATGTCAAATGCTAGTAACGAACTGGCAAGGAAAAAAATGAAGTATTACTTATTGGTTATTTCCATTATTTTTCCAGCAGGTTAAGAGTTACCATGTTTTTGCAGGGATGCCAGAATTTATATGCACAAATGTTGCTTGTCCTTCAGGCCAAATGCTCTATAAATAAAAAATACAAGTTACTGCATTTACTGCAGTGCTGTAAATACATCTTAGTTTGTATTATTTTTGTGGTACTTGTGACATTAAATATCTTAAAAGGTGGGGGGTGCCTCTCCAGTACAGAACAATTTTTTTTGTGCAGGTTTATTTACATCAATTGTCTTTCTAGAGATAGTAAGAAAAAAGCTTTTACTATCCTTGTCCATTACATCAACTTGGAAAATACATCCACCCAGGGAATATGCATATGCTCAATCGTTATACTCAAGGATGCTTTTTAAAAAAAATTACGGATAAATCTACATTTTACATGCATTCATGTGAGTGCATTATCTTTAGTGTATGTTATTGTTACAAATACAGAACTCAGATTTCGTGGTGTCATCTACAATGATCATATGCTATTCACTGATTCAGGCTCTAGTTACATATAAACAAAATGGAAACCAGGCATATTTTCTTAAAATGTTGCTTCCTATGACATAATAGAAAATAAAGCTGCATTTTCATCGTGTGAAAATCAGAATTGATTTTGCCTTTAACGCTGTATAAAGTGCCAACTCTTCTTGCAGTGTAATTCCATAATAAGATTACCAGTAAAAAAATGAGAAACAGTACAAAAAAGCTTCTTCTATAGAAACCAGGTCTAAATTACATCTGTACTGTTTATTGGTTTTAAGAGTTACATATTTGTCCCAGCAAAGAAAGTCATCTACTGTGCTCTGAAGGAAGCATTTTAAACATTGGGGGGTGGGGGAAGGAACCAGAGCAAAGCAACATTGTTGATAAAACAGAGAGGGGAGCGGTTAGGCCAGCTAAGTGTTAACAGACTGCGTCATTGAGTTTCAGTGGTTGAATAAGAAGGTAATGTAAGAGTTCAATATTTGTGGGAGCAGTGATACAGTGCTGGCACCAACTGGATGATGAGGAAAAATACCTTTTAAATGTGATGACTACTGTCCAATTCTTTAGTGTTGCCCCAGAACATTCTTTAAAACTCTGTTGGTTGTATCTGCAGTGTCAGGAGGCATCCAGTACTATGGCTGTCCACAACACTGCATACTTAGGTTGAAGATAGCTTTGTCCCGTAAACTGACATTAGCAAAACTGTTGCAAGAAATGGATTCTGTGCTCATGTAGAAAATGTTACCTCTACCCCCTTTTTTGTTCCTGAAATCTTGTTAGTTTAATCAAGTCTCAGATGAGTAGTCGAAACGAAAAGTGGACATCACTGGAAAGATGCAGGTGAGGATCCTGAGCCCAGACTCCACACATTTATGTCTAGTAGCTTGCAGCTGGGACAACAGTGGAAGGGATGTGCACAATTCCAAGAGTGGAGAGCAGGAGGGAAAAAAAACCTAACCCAAAACACCCCCTCAAGAAAGTGTTCAGTTTGGTGCTAATTGCCCCTCAGTGCACAATACAGAAGAGGAGGAATGGGTGAGGAAATAATAGTCTCTCGAAATAATTGATTCTTTACTGAAGTTAAAATTGTTGACAAAGAAAGAAATTACAGTTTGACAAACCCGTTTTATGGAGAAACTCACGTGACGGTGTGTTTAGTCTGTTTGAAAAAGAAGAAAATAAAAGGCAAGTGGGTAGGGCCGAAAAGACTTGTGCAATTTACTTACTGTGCCGTGGAATCCACCATCATTTACAAAGATAGTATGGATTTTTGTAACGGTGCTAGCACACTGATGTAGCTCTAAAGCCTGTTCAGTTTGGCACAATGGAACAGACAAGGTAACTAAGTAATTATCTCGATGCATTTACACTTATATTTTAAGATAGAAAAACAGAAGCGGATTGAAAGGATAAAACAGAAGCGAGCCCAACTACAAGAACTCCTGCTGCAGGTATATTTAATTTTAATTATTTTTTTCCATAAATGAAATTATCAAATGCAAATCCGACATGTTAGAACTTCTGACATTCTTTCTAGATGTACTTAGCAGCTATGATATATTAGGGAGAAAAGTTTCACGCTTGTGACCTTTCTGGATCCTGGTCGGGGGACCTCTTATCCTTGCTTTCTGGTTCATCTTTACCCATTGTAAAACAGCATACTGCATCTGCGTGCCACAAGCTTTTGTGAGTGTTCGAGTGAAGCTTTGTCAACATTAGTGGGAACGAGAACAACTCAGGAGTCACCTTTGTTGACTCCAAGTTCCCCAGAGTTAGCCTTCTCTGAGTAGTTCTTACTGGAAAATTTCTCGTTGATTCTAAGCTACGAAATTTACAACTGAACTTGTGTAAATATGTGCAGAGTTGTTCTGGGGGAGAGAGACATTTCTGGACCCTAAGAAGGGAAGGCTGACAAATCCAGCTCTTTTACATTCTGATGTGCACCTTTGAGATGCCTAGAGTTTTGGCTTTGATTGCAGAAATGTATCTCAAATGCATCTTTGGTTATAAAGTAGCATTTTATAAATACAGTTATAAGTCATCTTAAGTGTTTTGGTCTGTGCAGACTTTCAGTAATTTAAATGCAGTCAAACTTTTTATGAGGTTACAGGCAATAAGGCTATATTTTTTTCCCTGGTGTGACTATATTGATACAATTTTAGTTAGATATGCACTGAAACTTTTAAATACCTGATGCTTCTCCTTTTTTCATCACCAAAAAATGTTTCTCTACTTAAAGCACAATTCTGACTCTTACCTGTCTGACCTAATAAATTAGCAGCTTCTCTAAGAGTAACATGAAATTATCCTGGTGAAAAGGCGGCAACTCAGGACCTCTTGACTATGAGTCTGAAAATGATGGAGTTGCGCTCCCTTACTATCTATAACTGTCCGTATTTCCTTGATGATGTACATTGTCAAATGGTTTACCAGTCCTTTGGGATTCTGTCTATCCATCTTCCCCTTCAGTGGAACACATAGTGCCTCAAAGCAGTTAAGTACACTGACTTCCAGTCCCTCAAATAACATTTCCTAAAAACACCGATTTTCTTTCATACATATGCAGTCAGATAGAGGAATTCAGTAGAGAGCGAGTGGTGTCACAAACAGCACCTGTTTGAAAACTTTCAGAGGAGAATTTCAAAACTAACTCTTTTGAGAGAGAAAAGAGGGTGATGGATGAGGCGGAGAAGAGAACATGAGTCATGGGAAGTGGGGGAGTGCTGTAATTTCTGTTAACTTTTGTTTCAGTGTAACTGGCTCCTGTCGGAGATAATTACGCATACGAAATAAAGAGAAGACCTGGCTCCAGTGCCTTTTCTAAAGGAAGGGGGAACCATTCTCCACCCAGCTTTATTGCTCCTTTCTTGTTTCTTCTCCAGGCATTGTGAGGGGGGCATAGCCATTAGGATATGTGTGAAAAATTTGTGTTTAACTTCTGTTCCTGGTGAGCTTCGCTAGTGCGAAGAGGAAGTCAGGCCACAACTTACTTTTTAATGCAAAATTACTGAAGGTATTGAGAGATGGTAGATAAGAGCTATGAAGTTCCACTTCCTGGAAACACTGATGTCTTCTCTTTTATTCTCAGTGACCATTTGGTCTTTCTTTCTTTCCACAGCAAATAGCATTCAAAAACTTGGTACAAAGAAATCAGCAAAATGAACAACAAAATCAAGGCCCTCCAGCTTTGAACTCAACAATACAGCTGCCTTTCTTAATAGTCAACACTAGCAAAAGAACTGTTATAGACTGCAGCATATCAAGTGATAAGTGAGTGTTTATGGAATCAGTTTTTAGAATTTTATTTTCTGTGTGGATTGGAATTTTTCTTTGAACACATAGGATAATTTTTTTTCTACTTTACTAAAAGTAATTATGTATTTACATTTACTACTGTCACTTCAGGGGGGTGTTTTGGGTTGGGGTTTTTATATATTTTATGCAGCTGCAGTAGTAATAGGAATAAGTTTATCAACAGTGCTTTACAACCACTAGTTAAATCAGGCTGACTTTCACTGTTGTAAAAGGCACTTCAGGCTGACATTTCATGAGCATTCACTGCACAGGAGAAATAACTGAATTAAATTATATACTAGGACAGCGCTAGCTTTTAATAAACCCACATGGTAACACTTCAGAATTATTCCTGATATGCCATGAATGTATTTAGTGAGAAACACAAGGTAATCCACGTACCACAAAAATAACATCCTAGAGGTCATAATAATAACTTTGAAAGTGTCTTTTAACGGCAAAAATGTCGCACCTAGCTCTTTGAAGGAAAAAAAGGAAGGACATTATATAGAAATTTGCAATACTGTCTTCGTAAGCAAACTGCTGTAGTTGCACTCTTATATTAATCTGGAAATCTTCCAGTTACGTGCTTCTGGGTGCTTATGCTCTTCATCCTGTGAAAATACGGCTGAAAGTAGGAGGTACTGTTATGTTAACTGTTAATCGGATCACAAGTAGTTTATTAGCTGAAAATAGCTGGCTTTGCTTTAATACTGTAGATTACAGATTTCACTCTGTGATATACAAATCCCATATTGAACTTCAAGTCAGTTAGCATACAGCATAAATAGACAATCTCTAGTAACCCAAGCACCGACACGCAAAAAAGCAGTACTGTTAAAAGTTGATTTTTTTTAGAATATTGGACTGAAGTCTAATGCATTCTGTGACAAAACTTTTGGAATACTCCCGTCAGCACTGCAGTTGATCAAGTTGGGAATTTTAGGATCAATATTGATTTAGCTTAACTATGCCCTTATTTTACAGGAATACTGTACAGTTGTTACTGCACTTTTAAACAGCGCTCTATATTTAGGTTTGAAGTCTTTAAAAAGTTGAACCATTTCATACTGAAACTTCAGAACTGCTGCTTTGAAGTTGTCAGAGATTAAACTGGCATTTGGGATCTAGAGAAGTGTAACATGCTTCTGCAATCTCAAACTATAAGAAAACACTACTACTGAAAGTGAGCACACCAAAATTACTTAAGTTGTTGATATTTCAGTTTATATAACCCAGCTTCAATATTACTGTCATCTGGAGATGATTAAGTGTACAACAACCCAAATTAAACAAGCTTTCCACTGTGGTTGTTATTCGTGCAACTGATTACTGGCAGCAGCCGTATGTAGATAGTGCCAGAAACTGCTAGTGTTTAAACCACTGTTACACTGATCTGCTAAAGAAGGCAGCTGGGGAAAATGGCCAGTCAGTTTGGAGAATTCACATTCTGTAGTTTATTGGAGACTGTTTGCACTGCCTAACCCTGTTGCTGGTCAGCTTGAGTGCTTGCCCTTAGCTTGGTTCAACCTCAGTTAATAACCCACTGGAGGTACAATGCTATACATTAGAGAAAATGTCTAGGAAGTAGAGTCTTGTACCTTAGAGAGAGAATTGCCTGCAAGAGCACAAAATCCAGATTAAATTTGTTGTTGATGAAATTTGCACTTCACCATGGGAAAGGGACAGGAACCATACCCAAACTTTCTGTAGACTGTATTGGCCGCTGGACCTAGCTTTTAACACTGAATAATAAGATGGCAGCCCAGTAGATCATTCTATGAGAACAAAAGTTGATTTCTCAATAACAGCCAAAATAATGCTGGGAATTATTAGGGAAAACAGTAAGAAATACAATGTAAACCTAGGTACACATAGTGCTTTTATATCTGGAATACTAAACGCTGTCTTGTTCTTGGAAAGAGTATGGCATAACCAGGAGAGACACCAGAGAGCATCGAGAATGCCTGAGGCCATGAAAAGGCTTTCACAGAAGGAACAGATGGACTCTGGCTTAGGAAGGAGAGGACGATGGATTCGCAGGTGTCTGTAAAATCACAGATGACATGGGGCATGTGCGTAGAGAACAGCTGTACACAGTGCATATTAAAGTTAAAAGTAAGAGACATTCAGAGAAGATACCAGGTGACGGGTTTTAGACAAAAAGAGTATCAGAATTGCCAGTCCCCAAGGGGAGCTGCTCACGAGCCAGCCCAACCTGCAGTGGCGTGGCAGATCTCAGCACACAGGGGCTTTCCTTGGGCTGGGACCCACTGGGGCAGCATGGGGACCCACCAGGAGCCAGCAGCTCTTGTGGCAGACCTGACCAGGCCTGGGCATTGCCAGAGCAACCGCGACCGCCCGCACACCCATCGAAAGCGGCCTCGGGAGCGCTGCGAAGGGAGCGTGGTGCGTCAGCTGGGGCCGGACGTGACAGAGGGCACGCTCCACTGACCGAGCGGGAGACCTGAAGTGCACCTCACCCAGCAACTCTGTGACCGCCTGCACGGGTCAAGGGCACTCATCCCACCTGGCCCTCCGGGCAGAATGGTGGGCACTTGTCTGAGAGCAAAGGCTGCAGCTCTGGCTGGGGGGTCTGTGCCACCTACCCCAGCGGTGGCTGATGCCTCCACCCAAATGGAGCTGCTGAAGGGAGAGGCGGCAGCACAGACCTCAGGCTGGCAGAGGTGCCTCGGCCTTTCTCCTGGGGCAGGGACAGGCAGGCGGCCTCCCCCCCGGAGGGGGGGCCCCGGCTCCTGTGGCAGGGGGCTGAGCTGCAGGGAGGCTGACAGCTGGTTCCAGGTGCAGTCTGTAGCAGACCCGCAGCCCATGGCCAAACAGCCAAAAACTCCCCTACCAGCACAGAGGGGAGGGGGGCCAATCATGCAGAAGAATGGAAACCTGCAACAGCAAGGACCAACTGGAGGAAGAGACTTCCCCACAGCCTGAGGTGCCCTTGCAAAACCGCTTCACTGCTCCGCAGACTGAAGAGGAAAGACCTGTCACATCAGGAGAGACGCTGGAGCGGAGTAAGGCAGCCCAGTCGGCTCCCCATGTAACAACTAGCGCAAGAAAAGGCGATGGGTGATTGTAGCAGATGACTTTCTTCTGAGGGGTACGGAGGCACCCATTTGCCAGCCTGACACTCTCTCTGGAGAGGTGTGCTGCTTACCAGGGGCTCGTATCAGGGTCGTCACCAGCAGACTGCTGAGCCTTGTACAGTCCACTGTTATCCGCTGCTGTTGTTTCATGTGGGCCATGAACGATATAGCCAAAAGCAGCCTGAGGAGAACCAAGAAGGATTACACAGCCCTGGGAGCGGTGGTGAGGCACTTTGTGGAGCGCAGGCCATTTTTTCCTCAGTCCCCCCAGTCAAAGGGAAGGGGTTGAAAAGGGCTGGTCGAATCTGGCAACTTAACACTGGTTACAGGACTGGTGCCACAGCCAGGGGTCTGGTTACTTAAGCCATGGGACTCACTTTGAGAAACTTGGGGGCTGATGGGGTCCATCTGTCAGAGAAGGGGAAGAGCATCTTCGGTCAGGGGCTTGCCAGGCTGAGGAAGAGGGCTTTAAACTAAGGATGCCAGGGGAGGGGAATCTCAATCCATCCCACTGCTACCAGTTTGAGAGCCTGGAGAAGGATCACAGGTCAGCAGGAGAGCACCTGAAGGGCAGCACGAAGGAACTCCAGGCAGCGCCGTTGGGGGCCCAGCTGAAACGCCTCTGTGCAAACACACCCAGCATGGGGGGAATAAACAGGAGGAGACAGAGACGTGCGCACGCCTGCAGGGCTGTGATCCTACTGGTATCGGGGAGACGTGGTGGGACGGCTCCTATGACTGGAGC